TCGTGGATGCGTTTTGCTTTGTGACTGGAAGTATATCACTTTGTGCTGGCTTACAATGTGTTGCTGCGATACACTGTTGTACAATGCCATTGGAATTACTCCCAAATAAATCAGAGGCATCGCATGAACATCTAGAAAGAAAGATCATCAATCTGCCCTCATATCTTCTAGCCTTTATGCTTATTTTCCTAACAATACCGTGTAATGTTGGTATCTGTATTTTTCTGAATATCGATCCCAGACTTTCTAACCTTGGGATAGGTGACGATGTGGTTGGTGCATTCTCCACCAAACTTCCTGGGTTGGCTTTCACTCTGATCAAGTTTGCAAGTCAATCTGCGTTTGTTGTTGCAACTGTTTTGCTTACATCTCTGTTACTTGACTTCTGTGTCAGAATGGAATTCTTAAGCAGCATGGAGCCTGTTTTGACCATCCGCCCTGCGACCTTCAGTGGAAACGACTATCCAAATATCACCGAGTTGAAAAATTTCCCACTACTGAATGGATACCAAAGACTTGAGAGACATCAGCCCGAGATACAAAGTGAAACACTACACAAGCCATTTGACTGCGGTTTGTTTACTTGTCAACGCCAAGTGCCAGCTGATCGCGAAGGGGTCGATGTAAAATACGGATGTGGCTACGTATGGAGTTCCAAACACGCTCAAGGCCAAAAACAAACTTGCACTTCTACTTCCACGGATTGTAATAATCTTAACTCCGAATCTGTTCCTCTCAAGTTTTACTCCGAATATTTGACTTCTAAACAATTAGGTATACATGCCTCATTGAGTGAAGTAACGGCAACCCAAAACCGACTAGTCTATGCGTGTGCTTGTTCTCTGGTAGAGAATGGAACTGAAATGCAAGACAGAAGCACATGTACTGGTGCCGATACCATCAATGGGACACTTTCGCAACAGTTTTGTGATCGCGACAGATACAGCTGTTTGAGTTATAACCTTGCACGGCCTAATGGACAAGTGTCAGTCAGTTACATGGAACCGTTGAATGGCTGCATACAACCATACAGTGGAGTACTTCACGGATGTTATTATCCTGAAGCTGGAGATAATGACATGATCACCTCTGTGTGAAATGATCATAGTTGCGCACATAGGCGTGTTTTTGTGTATAACCGTCAAAAAAGCTTGGTATGAATTGTAACGTGGCAGTCCAACTTACTAGACATTATCATCTGCGCATTCTGACTTTACCCCGGGATGGAATGTCGAAACTCATGAAGACTATAATTTAGTTAGCCGTCGCGAAGCTAATAACCGTCACTGACATCCTGTTCAAATCCTCGCTGTTCTGGTCTAAACGATAGACGCTATGGGCTCAAAGGATCGCAGTGAACTTGTTGTCAGCGAAAAAGCTCAGCACTAAGGAGTTAAACCCAATGACCATTTGTACGTCTGTTAAATACAACGGGCACAAGAAGAAGTATGCATGACTGGTTGAAAGCTTTTACTGTGATCTTCGCTTGAAAAGGCATTTTAAAGTCGGTTACTAGAAAATATATACTATTCTGCTTTTGAGCGATCAGCAAGCCCCGTGCAAAATCCTCATCTCTCGCGTCCGCCAATTGTGTCCTCTGGTTACTGACCGAAAGTAAACGGATGCTTTCTTGTTGGATGAAATTAATACGCAGAAATGAGTTTGTTAAGAAGTGCCGACCTTTGAACACATGATAATATAAAGCTCTCTGCGATCACTCATAAGGCGTTCAGATGCTGACAACCAAGTGAAGATGTGATGGGGATACCGGGCTTCGTGGATGCAACTGCAGGCGCAGTACGCATTTGTCAGTTATACACGCTTCACCCTGACAATGATTTCCCTGCATATTTCCTGATTGTGCGAAGATGCGACTTCGTAATATCGCTGCCAGAGTAAGGTTTAACCTCTTTATCAATTGTTCGCACGGTTTAGATACCCCATGTGCTTGCACACATAGCACTGCTGTCATCTGCAATAATCCTCTTTTCACCGAATCCACAACAGCGCTTCAATGATGAAATCATTCGACTACTTTTTCTTCTCATTTCTTACATTTGCGCTGTACAGTAAGCGCAATGGGCACTCCTGTGGCTCATTTATGTCCCTTCACTGCCGGTAAGATTCATTTAAGCAATGTACACAGATGCCTTTTGTTTACCGAGTAGAAGTTTCTATCAAATCAACTCCGGTTCTGGTGATTGGCCATAAGTAGGCTAGGAAAAACGGAGTCCAGCACTCTGGTTCCACAGACAAAGGCGAAGCCATGTCTTCAATCCCGGCAATCCGGTTGTCCGTAGAAAATCAACTTTAATCCACCCACTATAATTAAACTGCTAATGGAAAACTACAGGATCCATTTGCAACGCCCAGTTAGACTTCCATGACTGAAGTTGAGAATATCTGATTTTACTGACGATCACACTGTCTTCTCAGCAAAGTATCGTGTTTACTATATAAAGTGATTCCTGGTTGTGTCTGTTTTGCTAACGGTAGTTTTAATGACTTAAAAAAGTGTCTATTGCGGTGGGGCTTTGCTGTAGTCATCTGCTCCTGAACTATTTGACTGTCGAATTAATGTTTGCTTACGAGGAGCTCCAACTGAGATGTAAATGTGAATTGGAAATATTTTTCAGAACGTAACTTTTAGGAGTAAATTATTCATGATGATGAGGAAACATTATAGTCAAATGTTGGCAGACGGAATGGTGATAAAAGTGCAACTAACTCCTCGAAATTCTCACATCTAGGTCGATAATACTTGTGCTTATTGATAGCCAACTGCAATACATAGGTTCTTCTTGGAGCAAAACTGTCCGGGTAACTGTTTAGTTCATTAGTGTAAAAGTTCGTGTTGCTGTTTATAGTGACTTATAATAGGCCCTTTATTCATCGCTCGCTAGTCGTCATTTGCTGCGATGCGGATACATGTGGCATACCAATCCAGATCAAGCATCCGTTGGCGGGAAGAGGGACAACATGCTAGCCGTTTCACAGGTACTTTTCGCATGATGAAAACAATTTCGACAATCGCATTCCCCATTCTTCCAGGTGCGCGAAACATACTTGGGTATGTGCCACTTCTCCAGGTCAAAAATAATAGAAGTGGACCAATAGACATTGACCTTCATAAGAAATGCACATGGGGTGGATCGATTGCGAGCGATAACATTTGACACCCCGGTGTCTGGTTATTGCAGCGCATTCGGACCGCGCCGAGAGGATATGGCTGATGGAATCTTACGGGTTATCGCAGGAAATCAGTTATGTTGTGTGATGAAAATATCGCTGGCTGATGCCGGCTGATGAGTTAGTGAGAATGGCGTGCGACTTTACCACATAGACGGTGTCAGCTTGTTCCATTGCCAGCTGGAATGTCGGATGATGCGGTGGGTCTGGTAGGGCTCCTTGTCATGGAATCAAACATTAAGCACCGTCCAATAGTTTTATAGTGTATGATGGGTTAGAAAGCATAACTTTACAAGACCTAGAGGATGGATTTGCAAAAGCAAATAAAAAATAAAATTTTTAAGGTAGAACGTGAATTATCAATGGTTAGGCCGTCACACTTTATCAAACTGTACTGTAGCGTTTATCACTGAGATGATTTGAACACATTTTTATCTAAAATTCATCTTAAACAGAAGTTAACGATAGGGACATTGATCAAGTTTGCTCTCCCCGGGGAAATGTTTTATCTGAACATAAGCCCACTTGTATTAGCAAGACACACCTGTTCTATAACAAACCTTTTTACTTACTCACATTACCACTGGTAAATGCCTTTACGATAGATATTCTCGAGGCTCACTTAACTAAGGGGTCTACTTTCTCTTCAAGCTCATTGTTGTAGTTGTAAACGTGTATACACAAGCTTACCACACTTGCACCCGTTGATATGAATGACCTTCACGATAACACCATCAATAGTATCTAGTAGGTGGGAGGCGCAACATCTTTCGAGATAACGTTCATGTTTTGTCGACTAACAATCTCTTCCTACATCGATTTGCAGGTATATGTTGGAAATGAGTTTTATGAGATTACCATCAACTCATCTATTCACTGGATTAATAGGCTCATAAAACAGTCGAATTTATAAAACTGAATTCTTGTAATGACCAAAAAAGTTCAACAATAAAAATATTTGGTTTGTACTACACTGGAGATAATGTCACTGTCGGTTCGATAGAAATTGGGTCTGTGGATTGACAGTGGCATTTTTATCGTTGCGTTGATTAAATGATCAAAAGAGAATGCGTTAATCTAGCCCACACTGTCCTCATGAGAGGATGTCAGTTTGATAAACGCCTGAGTGTTGCTTTCATTGACTTGATTGCGGCCTTCCAATTCACTCGTCCGCGGTGCTGAAAGGTGGGTTAAAGGTAGAACAGATTAATTTGCTTCATAAAGTGGTCAAGTATCGGAGTTGTAAACCAGTGTCCATGCTTTATTGGTGTTCAGATTTAAAGTTTGTCAACAACGGAGACCCCACGTTGATAGATATGGACGTGAAAATTGACCCAGTGCAAAAATTGAAAGAAGTGTAGGTTGGTCACCATGCTGTATGTTTGGCGGAAACCTCATACTAACCCAATAAACTATCAACTACAATCGTGATGCCACCAAAAGTAGAACCAACAATATACGTCAAAATGGGGACTGACTTTTAACCATTCATTTCAGGCGGACAACATCAGGTAGGGTTCCTGTAATCGCACTGATCAAATTTCACTTAAATGCTAGTCACAGCCCACATCGTGATTGAGCATCGCAATCCATCTGCACAGTCCACGAGTGCTTCCCAATAATCCCTCCAATCACTATTTAACCTTCGTCATATGTATTGCGCGTCGTGACTCGGTGGCTTAGGAGTTGAAGTTTCGAGTACCAATCCATATGCCGCGAGTCCGAATGCCTGGCATCTGTACCTAATGAGATCAAACGAGTCCGAAGCAGGCAGTTTTCAAGCGGGCTACACCAAGTATGCATTAAATATCATTTTCCTTGGTGCCAACCGCCACATTAATTAGTGAAAATTCTTTACAGGTACTCATGAGTCGGACAGTTCTGAGGTAGTTAATTCAGAGTTCGTCGCAGTAGCTTCCAAATCAGTTAGTTTTCCACATGAATGGAATAGCACTAGACTGCAGTTCGAAACTGTTGAGCATCATTAGTAGTACGCATCCATCGGACCCATCAGGAGTTGAAACCAGGAACAGCAGCAGCTTGCACTGCCAGCAAGCAGCTTGCGCCACAGGGCAACGGGGGACATTAATACATCCGCCCTAACAGTTTCTAAATGCTATGTCGTACATAGCTACTGTCAGTGGACCTCGTGTCTTTCGATGCCAACCCTTTCCTCTGCACTGTTCGTAACTTGCATGGCAGTGGAGGATAAAACGCGCCATATCGCAGTTGGCGCTTAAACCGAAGGTTTGACACGGACCCACGTGGCCCAGTGGAATTAGGTTGCTGGCTGACGTAGCTGTTGGTGGTCAAATGTTCGAATCCTGAAGGATGCAATGGATGTGCATTATTGATGAGGCCCAACAGGTCGAAAATGTATACTAGTGCTTTTCCGGGTTTGTGGACTACTATCTGATCTAGATGCTGCTGGGACGAGCTCACACTCAAATATTTGTAAGTGCTGACGTGACTGTTTATGGTAGCACGATTATCATCTTCGCCCCCAGCGCAGGCACTAGTCCATCACCGTTCTCTGCACACACTCCTGTTGTTACCATGATCAGCTTGGTTCGTTGCCGTCACTCAGAGGTTGATAATAAGACCAAAGCTTACGAACACATGTCTTGGTGCGCAAGTTGGCCATCGTTTTGGTACTAGACAGGTTTCACGTCGTCAAGCGCCTTCAATGGTGGGATTGTACTTCAAATATCATCATTATATCATTATACACATCAGCTGGAGGTGGGAAAACACCTCCGATATTGTGCCGCATATTTCAAATATGGCTGCCTACGAAACAAGTGTTGACAATGGTGTGCATTTGGAGGGCTAAGTGATGTTGAAGTAGCATCCTCGGCGCGGATCAATTTAGGGGACTAAAACAACTTTATGACGATCGGTGCGTACTCCTTCCCACTGAGTGCAACTCTAACACCAGTTTAACCATCTCACTTTTATGATTCATGTTTGATGCTAACGGCGACTAGCGGGCCCGCCATGTTACGGTTCCAGTTACTACCTAGGTTAATTGTGCGATTTGGAAGCAAATGTTGGTAGCTCAAGTTGTTCAGTTGGTGCTCTGAGTGTTTGCTGAGCTCGGCAGGTTGACGGCAAACGTTTCATCACCACTCGAGGTGGTGACGAAACGTTCACAGTCAACCTGCCGAACTCAGCGAACACTCTGACCACCAATTAAGTTAATTGTATTCAAGCCATATTCAGCGTCCACTTCAACTGTTAATTTTTCCAGGGATTTCGCAACTACTGTGTTATTTATTAAGCACTATGAATAATGGAGTCATCTTAAGGGTTGTCAGTCTGAAGGTAGGCTAGATTAAACTTGGAGATAACGCCTAGAGGCGTTAGTAACCAGACGTAAAAGTTTGGGCTACACAGCAGCCATGAACTTTGTGAACCAGAAGCGGCGTAGCACGCTGCACGCTGATGGTAAATTCTGGAGGGATATCATGCATAAAAATTGTCCAAGCTCCAACAAACTCTCACTCTAGTTTCTCTTGTAGTCACCCAAAATGTGGTGGACATATAGCAAGCGCCCCCCTACAGGCAGTGCCGTCAACTCGCTTGCGAAATAGTAACCAGGCCGTAACAGGCGGTTCACGTCCATCGATTGATCAACTCGAAATTCAGAGACTGTCATCAGACAACGACTAAACGATTTCCAGTTTACTCAACTAGTGTCCGCTTTACATTACAGGGTTAATTAAAAGCAACGGTGGCAGAATTCTGATAACGTTTTATAGTCCTCTGCAAACTATGGCAAGTTCATTAAGTTAACCGGTTGCTTCGTATCCATTATAAGCCAGTGCACCATGCAGTCGACCCAGTTTTGATGACTTATCACGATAATGGAAGGTTTAAGGTGTCAAACGGAAAGCAGTTGTTACAGGACTAGTGGTAGGCTCTTTGGGCATTCTGTCATCTGAAACGATTAAGGTTAGCGTGTGAATACAACAACCGCAGACTTCGGTTTACCTGTTGCAGCCATCAAAACTCGGGACGTAGTAACAAGGTTTGGTGAAACTGTAGCAGTTTAATGCAAGATTGTGGCTAGAAAACACCAAGCGCAAGATGGTTCCAGTGTTTTTGATCCGTAAAATGATTTTGTACTTCAGAGAGACTTGTAGCGACAGTTCCAAATTCGAATTGAGTCAGAAACACGAGTCTGCGTGTCCCGTTGTCATTGCCAAGATACTATGCTATAGGTAAGAAGGTGTTGCGCTTGTGCAGTAGATTACACAAACTGCAAACCACATGGATTCTACTAACATTCTTGTCTATAGATTGGACTACTGTTTTTTCCATGCGGCACTAGGCCATTGTTCCTGCAAGCCCTCTCTCAACAATGTAAATCCCGGTTCAGAGATGCATGACAGATCGCGGGCACAATATTGTCAGAGTGGATTTTGCGCAATTACCTCGCAAGGCAGTAATGAGGGACACTAATACATCCTGACACTCATGATGGCAATCGCAGGTCTAATGATGATGACAAGTCAGGTGCTGTTTGTTAACAGAATGCTTACGTGACATATATTTTTTGACAATGCGTAGTTGCTTACTTCCGTTTCGCTACCGTTTGTTTGTTGACGCTTGTTTAACAACATTATTTATTTGCATTGATTCGCCAACCCACGTCGGAGCTTATCTCAGAGGCCCATTTCCGCGTATACCTTTTACTCGAACTCGCGTGATTGGGTCTTTCTTTTACCACTTCTTATTCGCTGGATTCATCCGACGTTCTGTGTTGTTGGTTGACACCGATGTGTTTTACTAACATTACTTAACCCACTATTGTACCCTACATAAGGGAGTGTTCACATGCATAACGCTCTGTACTGGCTTGTCTTCGTGTTCACTTTGCGGTCTTTGGGTTCGAACGGTCAGCGGTGACAATCTTATTATGCATGCTCGACGAGTTGATGGGTGTGAAATTTGCTCGCAGATTGTGTTACAATAAGGACAACCGCAGGCAGAAACCGAGCATTAATTCCACCGAGTATTAGGTTGGGTAAACTGTTGCGAAGGTTTGGAAAACGCTTAGCTCCTTGAGTTACACATCAGTATGGAAGAGCAGTGGTGATGACGGCGATGGTTACGTGAGCAGAAATAGCACTGACTACTTTCACTGCCCTACCATTTCAGCCTGTGCAACCTTAGTTTGCCACTTAGAGTCCAGTACAACAGGTCCCTATGTTCTCTGAAGTGAAAAACGTGCATAGAGCTTGATTATAGTCCCGAAATTATTTGCTAGTCACACCATTCCAGAAAACATGTACCATGCATTAAACCGCTGTAGACATCACTGTAATTACATACCCAATCGTCACATCGCACTCCCTTCTTCCAATGAACTCCACTCAGTTGAAGGTAAGTACTGTACCACGCAATCAGGATAGTTTCGAAAAAGTTTGGGATACTGCGGTTGGTCTAAACTATACATAACTTCGCTACCCTCATAGCAAATAGATTGATGCATCCGGTAAACGCTTACCCTGTCATAGCACAAGCTCTGTTACCGCCTCAGTCCTCCATTCTGAAACGCCGCCCAGTACAATGACAAGGGAATCGGGGCACTTCGCGCGCTGTATTCGTACAGCCGGTTAAACCAGTGGCGTTCATCAGTTGAGACGTATTCCATCCAGAATTCAGCCCTAACATAACTGAATACGCCTCACGCAGTGTGTTAACTAGTGTTCTCATCCATGTCCGCTGCGTACTATAACTCACACGTAAAAGCGAGTAATCAGGGCCTTGAGCTAGGCATCAATTATGGTCCGTTCAAGTATCCATGTGGCTTCTGCTGTTGCCTTTTTATGGATCATGTGCGTGCCCCTCCACTTCAATGCAGTACACCGATGGTCGTCGATCAGCGCGTGAACAGACTCATATGATGTACGAGTTTTCGGTGTATTCCCAGGAGCCACGATGCATGTGTGTGAACACATCAGTTAGCATTTTATTTAATCAGTTGGTCGCTCAACGAGCCGTTAGCGCCAGCGTTTATGTACCGGCTGGTGGACATCATTCGGCCTTGCAGCTGCCTTGGAGGTATTACAAAGGAAATCGGTTGTCCTACTGAGCAGTGTGATTGATGTACCCATGAGCAGGAGAGTTTTGATGTACTTAGTTAATATATTGCAGTTTTTCAAATCAGAAAGCTATTGAACTATTGATCAAATTGACTTCGAAATGGTAACGGCTGACAGATTTCCGAACCGATGCTAATATTTTTTCGATTCTTTTATTCTACTGTCTTGTAAGTAGTAGGTAAAGATACTTCACGAAGGTCGCGCACCCAATGAAAGTGAGCCGTGACAGGCTGATTCACGGCTATGTTTAACTTCCGGTCAATGCACCATGGCCTTGAGAAGTAATTTTAGGAGGCAACTTAATGAAATGTCTACCTGTTGTTTTCATACAGTAGCCGGAGATCTTCATGCAGAAGATATCCAGATCCCGTTAATCTAGTTAACCATCATTTCGACTGAGCTGTAAGAGCGCATATCAACAACCGAAACATTGTTCAATGTGTACGACAACCAACTGGCCTAGTCCACAATCTGCTACTGTGACAGCCGCTTGTTTAGTTACACGGATGTATCCGAACTTTAGTCAACTAGTGGCACCTACATATTAACGAAAGGCTTTCGTACGAATGACTAACTTTCGTCAGTCAATGTGAAACAATTTAGTGTTTGGTCACATAATACGGTAGCTGCGAAACATAAACTAAGTACGCATTTAGCAAGCAACGAAGTTCTTACCTTTTATACAACACAACGTATTTCGCAGTACTTTGGAGACGGTCGTGCAATTTGCAGATTACACGTTCCAATAAGCGTCGCAGCTGAGACTGGGTGAGAGTACCCTTGTCACTTTTGAAATTCTGAATTTTTTCACGAAGTTCACTTTCCTTGTCTACCAACTCCTGCATTTCTATCTTCAGATGTCCCAAAATCTAGGCCGGGAGACAAACGTAATTAATTCGATTGGCGACATTGTTCCTTTAAAACATGGGTATTTGACATATATTGGAGTACTCATAAGTAGCAGGATTTTAGTTGGGATGAAAAGCCTTATGAGATATATTGGAGTGTTTGCAAACTGTACTATTTTAGGCATTTTCCACAAGTTACTTTTTGAACTTCTGGCTGACGGAGGTTCCTGAGTTTGACATTAACATTATTGTGGGACCATGAAATGAAGTACATTGCCCATAGTTTAACTTTCTATGGGTTTTGCAAAAAGGAAGTTCGGTTGCTATGTTTAGCGGTTGTCACCGAAATTCATTGTTTTTCTCTCATAAGGCAAAAGTTGCAACTAGTATATTTAATCAAAACGATGTAAAACGGTGAATAAAGCAAAGGAGGACGTCAGCCATCAAACACGCTGTGTTCACAATGGTCCAACGTTAGGTGAGACGACATTTCAGATAATGCAGGTATCTTTATATTTTCCGGAAAACGCCCAAACGAGGTTCTATATAACGAAGTACGTGCGCTTGACTAACAAATATCTTGAGAGCAAGCAACCAGAATTGCATCTTCAGCAAGTGCCTCTTAACATAAACGGTATAAGTTGCGTGGTAGCTCGATCGAGGGCTCTTACAACAGGAAAAGCATTTTTTGAGACATTGTAGTAACTTACAAAATTATGAGAGATGTAGCTGTTCTCTGGCGTATCAAACCTTGGTCAGCCGGGGAATAACACCCGCTGTTTTGCGCTCTGGTAGCGGTTCGTAGTTACTCAGCTGGATTCACGTGTAAACACTTGAACATAAGCTGTGTTCGTGCTAATTAAATTTAGTAACCCATTACTTATATTCCTTCCAAAGCATGATAGTGAAACAATGAGAAGTGGTTTATGCTAAATTGACTAAATAATCCGCGCAAACATCTAACATTGCAGTAAACTACTGCACGCTTTAAAGTCATGTGCATTGACACAATCGGAAACTTTTACCTTCAAATACGTTTCCTTCGTGGGTTCGGAATTTGGATTAGTCATTTCTCCGTCTGGGGAACTGTTACGAAGCAAAATATGGGCACCAGCTAAAGTGAACTGCGTGTCGAGTACGGGTTAATGCAACTGGTATGAAATGTAACTGCAACAGGGTGTATAACTCTTGATCAGAAATCGCAAAACTAAGTTGTGGTGAATACTATTTGCACATCATTCAAGATAGAGTACATTTTGTAACCCACAAAAGAGCTTAAAATATGCAGGTTGCTTAGGTCAAGATGACTCTACCGCTGTCGTACGGGAGCAAGAGCCGTAGTCACTGGCAGTTATTGCTCAAGCATATTTTTCTATCCTTTTTAGATTGTGGTTGTCAGGGGCGAATCGTGCTAGATCAGTGAAAATTTAGTTTCCTCAAAAAAATTTGATTCAGCCGACCCCGCAAGGGTCGGTATAGACCCTCACCGGAAACCAGCATTCATAAACACGCTTCTGCCCACCGATGCCCTCACCTGCTTGTATACCAATGCCCAAGATCTTCTCAGTAAGCTAACCCAACTTCGTATTCGTCAGCTCGCCACGCATTGGAATCTAGTTATGGTCACCGAAACGTGGCTGCTCACGGAGATCATAGATGCTGAGATTACACTACCCTGCATGACTTCCATCCGAAACGATCGACATAGCAAAGGAGGGGGAGTACTCCTGTATTTTCGATCCGACCTAAAGGTTGATGTCCTTGAGGGCCCAGAAACGAGAGTCGTCGATTCTCTTGGGTGTAGTATACACCTAAGACGTGGTGATGTGTGTTTACTAGCAATAGTTTACCGCCCTTCAATGTCCACCTTGGAAATGGATCAATGCCTAGCTTTTGCGATCAAACGAGTCCTGGCACGACCATACAGTCACCTCCATCTTGTGGGGCACTTCAGCCTGCACGCGATCAAAATTCCAGCATCGCACAGCGAACAATTCAAGGCGGATTTTCAAGAGATGATCGCTGATGTACCTCTGTATAACCGTGTCACCTCTCCCACGATATTCCGAACGGGTGACACACCCTCTGTGTTGAACCTCGTGTTCTCTAACGAGGAACTAATGGTCAACACCGCTACCATAGATACATCACCTGGCCGTAGCGATCACGCGAGCTTACTCTTTCGTTACATCTGTAACTCGGAGTACATCAGTGAGAACAAGGTGGAAGCCTATGTCGTTACACATTACGATATGCTGTCCAACTTCGTTCAAGAAACCGACTAGTCCTTCTTGGCCGAGAAGCCGCCCGATATAACCTGGATGTGGTTCGTCACCCAATTCAGTGAGCTATTGACAAATGCGTCAGAAAGCATGGTCCTTCACCCGAAGTAAGTGAACTCGTTCCTGAGCAGCCGTACTAGAAAATGCATAGCGTTACGGGATTCAGCCTGGCGCGCTTACAAAGTCTGTCCAAGTAATTTGACCTGGGGTGTTTAAACAACTCAACGAAACCACTGCGTCAAGTTGATCCGCGAAGACAAACTGTAGCACCAACAGAACTTAGCGGC